GCTTAAGTTTCGTCGGAACGAAGTTACAGAAAGTTAATTAACAAACGGAGACGTAACAGAGGAAATAAACTGACTTCATCTCATTAAGCAGACTGATCGTTAAATTATTTTCACTTGATAATTTAAAGAAATGCAAACAAAGAACAATGTCACAAAGCTTGGTGTTAAAAGAAGGATTTTATGTGATGAAAATTGAATAGAATTTGGAATATACTTAAAGTAGAATCCTAATTGTTGAAGATGGTAACTACAAGGTCAAAGAGTGAAAGCAAATTATTACTTGGGATGATGAGATTATTAATAGAAGATTTAAAAGAAAGAGATAGAAAGTTAAAAGAAGATTATAAAGAAATTTACAGGAAATTGAAAGAGGACCAAGAAATAGACAGAAAAATACAAGAAGACCAGTAACAATACAGCAAAAAATTAGAATAATGTGTCTGGAATTTAAAGAAAGATATCCACTATTTAAAGACTAATCAAGACTTAAAGTTATTCGTTTGAAGTTAAGCACAAAGCTACACAATGGGTTATCTGTGCTCTGCCCACCACAGGTATCGAAACCCTGGTTTCTAGCATCGTAGGTCCACAGATATATCGCTGTACCACTGGGAGGCAAAATTTAAAATAAATCTGATTGAAGACAAGATAGATGACATACAGAGAAATTAAAACAATAAAATCGAAGCAGTATGAAAAAACTGTAATGAGAATATTGGCAAAATCCAAAAGAGTGTCAACAAAGTCGAAAGTTAAGTAAAGAATGACATCAATAAAGTAGAAAGTATCATTGAAGTATGAAAGAACATTGGACAAAACATCCGGAAATGAATTATTAAAAGCAAAGATGAGAGCATTCATGCCTCTTTCTGTATCAGCTTGAGACTTCGAGCCTATAATGCCATGTATTACAAGATATGGACTAGGGAAACATATTTGGTCCACACCTATTATCACTATTGCTGTGTCATCTGTTACTGAAGGACCTTTCTGGACTATCCCAGCTATGACACTACCAAATCCAGTTCCAGAATTTAGCTGGCCAACTAAACGTCAGTCAATAGAGAAACCCATAGATTATAACAGGAAGGTACTATTGAAATCCTACCAGACTCAGTTCAAGACCATATACAGAATAAATAGATGGAATAGTGAACAATAAGATATTCATCTTTTTGACAATTTAAAAGGACCAGCTTTGAAAACACTGAGCGACCTTCCAGCTTAGAGCTATAACGTCTACCAGATTTTGATAACTGCCTTATCCAACAGGTTTGGAGTGTCACAGCAGAAAGAAATACTCAGAGCAAAGTTCTGGAACAGGGTGTGGAGAAGAGAAGAGACCTTAGCTAAACTTGCAGAATATTTGAAAATTTTTTCCTAGCTATCTTACCTAGATTCTCTTTGTGAAATGATGAATTTATTGGCATGTGACTAATTCACGGATGCCATATCAGATGAGAATGCGAGAATTAGGTTGAAACAGAGTAGATATACCTCTCTAAAGGAAGCTTTGCAGTTGGCACTGGAACGGGAATCCATCAGAGTTGTAGATAAACTACTAATAGGGGTACCTAAAAGTTATGGGACATTAGATCCTGTAGTAGTGAAACATCCCCCTACCCTATCATTAGTGTAGGAGAACAGAAGGTTTTGGTTAAACAACTAGAAAAGCAAAGGAAATTATCCATAACACAGTAGTTGTTTCAAGTTTAAACTGAGACAAATGCATATATGGAATAAGAGCCCCTCCCAGAAAATACTAGAAATACTAAGCACAGTATAGATAGCCCATTGTGTAGCTTTATGCTTTACTATAAAGAATTAAATAAACTCGACAAGCGTCAGATGGATTATTTTATAATAACGGCAGAATTTGCCTAGAAAATGTACGAGTTATTATTATTGTAGGAGGTAATTAGCCTGATTTTTTTTCATTTTTTAAATAATGAAAATTTTCATATTTTGAGGAAACGAACAGAATTTGTATTCAGACAATAAAAAGTAAAGCAGTGCCCATATCCATTGTGAACGAATAGACAGTCCTTTCTTCCTTAGTTATATGTTCAGCCTTGCTGTCTCCTCTCTCTCTCAGGTGTGAATGCTCTAAAACTAAGTTCGATAATCCTCTAAAAAAGAAAGCAGGTCCTTTCTGCAGGTTGATTAATTCAGAATTAAACATAGAAAGCGTGCTTAAATGTAGAATGTTAACATGCCTTATTTATCCAGTGGACGGCATCACATCGTGACCTATGTTCCTTGACATCATTGGTAGTTTGTTACTTTCAGTCAACATCATAATAGACCAGCCAAGGATATTCCAATTCTAGTCCAGTAAACCAGTGTGCTTTTATGAAATATCCTTGTAGGCAAAAGAGACGTCACCTAATAAAAAGATCAAAGAACAAATCAACTAGAACAAAATAATGTTAGCAACTTTCTGGACCACGTGTAGCCGCCGTGACGGTGCAGAAACTAACTAAATAAAAATGTTGAAGATTTCTATACAACTGTATAAAGCGAAGACACATGATATGCTTTCATATCACACATGCAGCCTTACAGCCTACAACACATGGACAGAATAGATGTTATATCCAGAGAATAACAAACGAACAAAGATAGCTAGAATGAAATCAACTTCACGATTTCCTTGACCACATGCTATGGGAAACTGTACATACTCAGAAATAACTGATAAATTTATAAGAATATTATGTTAATATAATAAGATAGAAACTCATGGTATGTTTGCATATAACAATTTTACTATTACGAAAATATTGTTACGACAGCGGAAGTCACGTGACTCTGGTAACACGTAATGAGTATCTCGAACGTTCCTGAAGGTTCGAGTGTTTACTAGACACGCGCTCTTATAGTATATAAGCCGGCAAATAAAGTGATGGGATATTTATTGCAGACAGACAGAGACAGACATTTGAGTCAAGCGCGGTAGTGATCGTAAGTAAAGTACGTGAATCGTTGTGAATTATAGCGTGTGTTGAAGTCAAAATGATTGTGGAAATTAAGTGTATTGCAAAGTTATATTGAGAAAGAATAAACTAGTTTTATTTAAGAAGAGACTTGTATCGCTGAAAATTAACAAACAAACAGAGACATAACAAATTGGTGTCAGAAGTGGGATAAAAAAATGGAAACGAGAAGCGGCAAATCAAACTACAGCTTAACAGATCTGATGGCAGCAATACAAGAACAGCAAAAGAAACAAGAAGAACGAGAAAATAAACAAGAAAGAAACAAGAAGAGAGACAACAGCAGTTGCAAGAAAACCTGCAACAGTGGCAGCTCGAACAGCAAAATAAACAACAATAGAGATTACAACAGTTATTGGAGGAAAAAGAAAAGAAACAAGAAAAGAGACTACAGCAGTGGTTGGAGGAGAAAGAAAATGAACAAAAAGAGAGACTACAGCAGTGGATGGAGGAGAAAGAAAATAAACAAGAAGAAGGTCTCCAACAATTGAGAGAAAGCCAGAGTACACAAATGGAAAACATTAGTAAATTTCAAAACGAATTAAGTACATTAAAGAATGATTTACTGTCTTTTACACAAGGAGGATATATTAGCCATCGACTGAATCAGTCTCAGACAATGGGAAGCCCCTTCCAGACCCCGCAGCTAAATCCTAATGCAGATAATGGATGGACAGAGGAGCAGAAAGCAGCATACCTGGCAATGAGCTGGAAAGGACAACCACTGGAAATACTTGGACAGTTGTCAGCAGACATCAGGCACAAATATAGAGCACTGGTAGTTGCTCTAGAACTCAAGTATGGAACCCAATATCAGTCTGAACTTTACAGGGCTAGGACGAGAGTCTGTGCTAAAGGGGAGAGCCTGCAAGAGCTGGCACAGGATTTTGAAAGTATGGCACACAAGGCCTACCCAACTGCGCCACCCGATCTCGTCAAGCTGTTGCTGAGGGATCAGTTTGTAGATGCCTTGGACAGCTCACAACAGAAGATACAAATAAAGTAAGCACACCCCTCTACCATGCAGGATACAATGGCCAGAGCTCTCGAATTTGAATCTTACGTTAAGTCCAGCACAGAGGTACCGAGGTTGGTACAATCATCTGGATTCAAGGCCAGAAAATCAGCTTTCAGAGAGGTTTGAGGAACTTTGCTGGTACTGTAACAAACTTGGGCACAAGAAAGCTCAATGCTAGAACCTTCAACACAGGCTCTTCAGGTTAGGGAACTTTTGGTGAATTATGCAGACGTCTTTTCAAAAGGAGATCATGACCTCGGCTGCACGGACCTCGTGGGGCACAGAATAAACACAGACAACCACCATCCAATAAAGATCCCTCTGAGTAGAATAGCCCCAGCAAAGTGGCAAG